AAAGGCACTGAGATAGGAGTTTGGATTCCAGCATAATTGCCTGACATTTGAGCCCAGGTTCTCCCACTGTAGAAGCGTAGTAATGGTACACTACACCTGCTTTGCAGTGGTATCGCGATAGATTTAGCATGTAGAAAGCTGGGCACAGAATAAACTGTGGCCATGATGTTGTTATATTCATTATACATCAAGATATAACTATTATAATTAATCCACCAAACAGCCTAAGGCACTGTTGCTTAGACTAGATGGGGGCTCTTGGGGTTCCACTAATATATTCTTGGGGTTCCACTAATATATTCTTGGGGGTTCTGTGAGTTAAGTTTGAAAAACTGGTCTAACTTCCTCCTCATTTTGTGGTCACAGTAACTTCCACTGATTGCTGAGGCAAAAATAGAGCGGCAGGAAACAGTACCTACTTAGAAAAATAACTAATTCTCTTACACAACAGCTGTATGTACTGCTCACATTTGTGTCAATGAAGGAAAACAAGATGAGGAGAAAAGGCACCAGAGGAAGGCTTTCGAGGTGAATGTGGACAGCGCCTTATCCTCCTGGAAGGCAGTGTAAGCCATGCTTTTTCACCCAGGACAATAACTGGGGCTTTGGAACTAGTACAATGGGAAGTAAGTGTTGTTTTTTTCCAAAAAGAAAAAGATGGTAAATGAGTTTGGCTATACCATACAAATGGCCACTTCTGGTGATTTCTTACACATATATTTATACAGGTTTTGGGGGGGGGGTACCGGAGATCGAACTCGGGTCCTTGCGCGTGTGCAGCAGGCGGCGAAACCACTGAGCTAAATCCCTGGCCCTTTATATGTATTTTAAAGTGTCCTATTTTGCAAAAAATAAAGGATAAAAGGAACCAGTAAGTTTTCCTAAAGCACAAAATGGGATGAAACCATCTGAAGGAAGAAATTAACCTTACCTTTAAATGGATTTCCTTGCTACAGACTTCTAAAGCATATTCTCGATAAAGTCTCCATGGGATCCTGATGTAAATAAATCAGTATTGCACCAGGTGATAGGAAAGAAATGCAAGGAAGTATATGATTACTGTTTCAAAAAGCTTAGCCGAACTGTCGGAGGTCTGAATTTCACCTCACAGTAGCTGTATTTTTCTTCATGTCACAGCATCCTGGCCATGTACCAAGTGTCATCCTGTTTAGAAGGAAGCTCTAACCACCTCCCTCCCAAATGTGCCTGGGGACAGGTGACGCTGGCTGCTTCACAGCAGCCATTTCTTTCCTGGGGTTGGACCTGGCTTGCCTTTCTGCCACACCTGTGTTGTTCGAGGACATCACTATCCTGCACTAAGGCAAGACCCTTGTGGTTCCTCACCCTAGGACAAGCTGCATGGAGTTTCCAGGAGGGAAGCAGTTTAATTACAAACCCAGATCTGCAGTCTGAGGGGTTGCCCTTGAGGTATCTGAATTAGAGACTATTTGAAACTTTCCAGGCATGATCAGTATTTCCCATTGTCAGGCCCTCAGGCCTCCTGGGTTCCTCAGTTCCTACAATTAAGACATAACTTCTTGCTATCTTCTTCTTGCTATCTGTCAGGACACCTCACAGTGAAATCTGTGCACCTTTTATACATTTAAGTCAGGATACAGTATGTTCTTGACTTAGGAATGAGCTCTGTTCCAGGAGAACTGTTCGTAAACTGGCTTTGTTCATAAGCCCGCAGAGTGAGTCTTATACAGTACACCTATGAAAGTTCAAAACTTGAATGTTCATAAATTGGGGACTGTATTTCAAATTGTATCCTTCAAATACAGTTAAATCTAGTTCTGAGTTTAGCTGCTCCAAAAGTCACTGACTGTCACTTTGAGGACATCCCTGGAACCTCCAACAATATTTTTTTTGTGTGGGATTGAACCCAAGCAAGCTCTCTACCACACTAAGTTATATCCCTAACCTTTGTGTGTGTGCTGTGCGAGTGTTGTGTGTGTGTTGATGTCACTGGGGCCTTTGCACTGGATTATATCCCAACTGTTTTTTTAAATTATGAGAGAAGTTCTAAGTCATCAAGTTGCCCAGGCTGGGCTCAAACTCACATTTCTTCTGTCTCACTCCCCCATACTGCTGGAATTATAGACTTTCACCACCACTCCTGGCTCAGTAAATCTTGAATACGTTCCAACACTATATTTAAAATCAGATCGTCCAAAACATCCTCTTATTTGCTGAACACCTGTTTAGCTTTTTTCACATGATGTGTTAATAAGCGTTACTGTAAATCAGAGATTACTACAAAAAGATTAAGGTTCATGCTAACTCTTTTGGGTCTTGTAAGTCCCAACTGTCCTTAAACTCAGGAAAGTTCCTGCAAAGTTGGACTGCTTCCCTAACGGCCTAGAGAAAGTTGCTAACTAGAAGACTTCTAAGGGAAACAACTTCCGGGCGGGGGGCGGGAACACCAAGGAGAATTCAAGAACAGTTGCTCAGGGCCCGCACACATGTGCAACAGCAAAACGAGGACCCATGAAAGTGGCTCTTTAAAGGCACTTAAGAGAGTGGATCAGAGATAACCCACTGCATTCTCCAATTTTTAATCACAGCTCCCTCCGCCTGAATGATATTCTGGAAGGAAACGGAGCTCTTTGAAAGAGGAGGCCTGTGGTTCTTACCATTGCTAGAACCCTTATCTCCCAGAAGCCTATCCAGAAGGGTCAGGATGGTGACATTTCAGGCAGGATTACCAGCAACAGCAAGTGGGCTTTACCCAGGAATGAAGCAGTAGGTTTCCTGTTTGGAAGCATGGCAGAAATGAGGCCTGTAGACACAGGAGCAAGGCTGTGCCTACCCTGCAGTAGTTGTCCAACACAGTGGTCTTCTCTTTTGTCGGTTTGATGTGGTTGAAGAACAAGATTCTTAAAAGGCGACCAGCAAGGTGATGTCTGAGATGTAGCTGAGTCCCCTCTGCCTGTTAACCTTGTTATGGAATTTGCAGCCTTGTCTCGGGCAGCTCCTGTTTTGCTCCACAGCTAAACTAGAATAAATTAAACCGGTCAGGGTAGTCACAAGAGTTTTGCTGCGAACGAGGGAGCCCTGGCTGGCCGTCAGGCAGGCCTCAAAGGGTATCTTTGGGATGGAAAGAAACACCCCAAAGGACGAGGGCCGTTTTGCAGATTCTCAGTGCAGAACATCAACACCTAGTGGCACAACACCACCATGTTAGGGCATTCCACAGCAGAGTATCACAGCGACCTTACAAAATAAAATACGCCAACGTGGAAGGCTATAACTTAGAACAGTTAGCGGATTTAACCAAGGTAGCAGTTCTAGGGAGAGGAGGGGGCACAATTCAAACGCAAGCCACCCCAGAGCCCTTTTAAGGCCCCACTTCTTAAGACAGTCGAGATCAGAACGCCATTTAATAAAGTGTTCCGGGAAGGTCCGTCCTTCTCGTCGCCTTAGAGATCACAAGCATAGGTAAAACTTCAGTATTTTGATTGTCAGGTTTGCCAAGTGTTGTGATGACCCTCTCAAATCTACTCTGACACTCAGGTAACTTGCATTTTAAAAGTGGTTAAGAAGAAACCCAGCTTGCTTTTCTCCAGTCTGCTGAAGGTGTGGGGTGAACGATTTGGTCTGCTCATTTCCGCCGCAGGGGATTCTACCTCCCCCCTCCCAGCCCCGAAACTACTTGGAGTGGGGACGTCGGTAACAGATGTGGAGGGGGCTCAGTCCCAGGGCAGGCTTCCCCCAGCTAAAACTGGACGATATCCAGTGAGACACGGGCGTTTTATTCCGAGGGTTTCCCAAAAAAGGCGCGGAGGAGCAGCGCGGGCACCCCCACCACCATGGAACAGGCTCCCCGAGGAGCGGCCTGCCTGCAGCAGAGATCCAAAATTGGCAGCCGGGGACTTGCAGCCGCCTCCTTCAGCCCACATTTCCCAAACCCGAGAAGAGGCGGGTGACTAAAAATGCAAATGGCAGCGGGGCGTCCGCGGGCAGGCCCGTGGGTGCGGGGCGTCGGCTGGGGGAGACCCGGTGACCTCAGGCGCCCTCGCCGCGTTCACAGTGGGCGCAAAGGGCGACGAGGCTCGCTCCAAAGCACAGCTCCCCGCCGGGCCGCTGCCCCCGCTTCCGCCTCCCGGGCGGCGGCGGGACAATGCGCCGCCTCTTTTCCGCCGGAGTTAGGGAGGGAAGCCCGGATTAGGACCCGCACTTTCCGGCCACAGCCGCTCGGCGGCACACAGGTGGTTTTCCGCTCGGGAGCCGCCGCCTCGGTGCTTTTATATAACAATAGAGCTCAGCTCGCCCGTGCAGTCCCGCCTGGCCCCGCCTCCATCCGGCTTCCAGCCCGCGCGTCCAGGTCCAGGCGCCAAGGCTGCACGCAGCTCAGCACCTCCCCAAGTGACCTGCGGGCAGTGCGGGACCTCAGAGATGGTCCCTGCGATCCCCCAGCCCTAAGCGAGCCAAGGGGTCCCCATAGGCATTCTTGCCCCCCACCCCCACCCGGGCCAGGCCTCTATCAGCCAGATCCCAACCTCAGTCCAGCACGCGGCCACCGGGTGGCTCCAGGCCCAGCGCTCCCCTCGGCCGGTGGGGAGGTGGGGGCCGCGGCCAGGAGCGCGCACGCGCGGCTGGGGCTCTGGAGTGTCCCGCGCTGGACGAGGGAGGGGGCGGCAGAACCGGGAGGGCAGATGGGTGGTGGGGCGGGCGTTAGGAGGCGCCCCTCTGACCTGCCAGCTGTCTACGGTAGCCAATCGCCGAGACGGCCAGCTGAGCCCCCGCAGCCTGCAGGTTTTGGGGAGGACTTCCTCACGCCCGCGTGGAGGGACTGCCGGCCAGGCTTCGCGCGTCTTAACGCACCTAGCTGGGGCGGCCTTGCCGGACCGGTCCTCAGGCGACCTCTTGGCTCCCCTCGCTGGCGGTGGGTGACCGCGGCGTGGGGGTGACCTGGATACTCTGCGGGACCGGATTAAAAGCGTCGGTCTGTTCAATGAGGTGTGTTTTTTTTTTTAATTTAATGCAGTCCCTACCTTTTTTTTTTTTTAATTAAACACTATTGGGCGGCAGAGCAGGGGGGCTTCTGATTTTTCTGGGTAACCAGACGTTTGGTTGCTTTCAAACGTTTCAACAAAATCCTGGTTTGTTTGGAAAGATGTTGGATTAGCATTTAACACATCACCGGTCTCTAAAGCCCAGGCAGTACACCAGCCCCAACACAGCCTCGGCTAAAAGAACATCAGAGCAAACAGAGCTGGACTTTAAAAACAGGCAAACAAATGCCACACACCGACTAAAGGAGGGCGGGGGGGGGGGGGGGGAGCTCCAGAGAACTGGGATCCAAATAAGTTTTAAGGGAATTTTTTCAGAAGTCAGTACGTTTTCCGAAAGCTAGCTCGAGAGCACGGGCGTCGCGAAGAAGGGCTTTTGTGCATGCTAACTGCACCATTTGTGCGCAAAAGTTCCGACCCGAAGTGTGAACTCTCAACAGAAGGAAACATGAGACAACTGAAGTGCCCGGGTTTATGTGCCTGCTCCTCCTCCACCGCCGCCTCCTCTTCTTTCTCCTTCCTCCCGCGGAGCCCGCAGTTGCAGCTTGTTTGCACTGGGGCTTATCCGGAGCGGAAATTCCTTTCCGTTTTTGTGAATGACAAACTCATTAACAATTCATCAACACAACCTGTTCCAGCCGGCCCGTCTCCACGGTAACAGCCCCTTCCGCAGCGCGCTCATTGGCTGGCCGAGAGAATGTATCCATTGAGACGCTTGCTGTTTGTATCCATTGAGGAGCTGCCTCGCGCTGGGGGTGTGCGAGTGTGGAGTCCTAGGGACTGCGAGCAAATCAAGTCTTGAATAATCTCGGGAGAGAGACGCCCGGGTGGATTTGAGGTGCAGCCTTGGAGGGAAAGATTAGGAACCTCTAGGGTTTTTTTTTTCCCTCTTCTCTCAGTAGAACGGAGTCCGAATTAATTGGATTTCATTCACTGGGGAGGAACACAACTAGGCAGGTTCATTCAGAGATTCATTGATTCAGGAGCGAGCCGCTGCAGTCGGGTGCCCGGGGACCTCAGGCTGCTGTTCTGTCTCGTCTTCCCCAACCACTAACCTCGGTTTGGGAAAGGCGAGGCGGAATTAAAGACCGCTCCGAGAGCGGCGGCTCGGCTCGGCTCGGCGCGGCGCGCTCGGCCTATGCCTGCCCAGAAGGGCGTCTGGTAAGCACCCGCCTCTCCCTCAGCTCGAACCCCATGATAGATACTCTCAGACCCGCGCCCTTCGCATCGGAAATGGCGATCAGCAAGACAGTGGCGTGGCTTAACGAGCAGCTAGAGCTGGGCAACGAGCGGCTGCTCCTGATGGACTGCCGGCCTCAGGAGCTGTACGAGTCGTCGCACATCGAGTCGGCCATCAACGTGGCCATCCCCGGGATCATGCTGCGGCGCCTGCAGAAGGGCAACCTGCCGGTGCGCGCGCTCTTCACGCGCGGCGAGGACCGTGACCGCTTTACCAGGCGCTGCGGCACCGACACGGTGGTTCTGTACGACGAGAGCAGCAGCGACTGGAACGAGAACACCGGCGGCGAGTCGGTGCTCGGGCTGCTGCTGAAGAAGCTCAAGGACGAGGGCTGCCGGGCCTTCTACCTGGAAGGTATGCGCCGCGGGTGCGGGGCCACAGCTGCGGGGCTGGGGCTGGGCGCGTGGCTGGAAACGCCTCTTGAGCCTCGGAGCCGCGTTGCCCGGCCCCGAGTAGCCTCCGTCCAAGGGAGGTGGGGGACACCTGGGTTTGCGTGAAATCCTCCCGCTTCCGGCCCCGGGCACCAGCGGTTTTTTTCTAACGAGTTCTGCGTTTTCTTATTCGGAAAGTTCCCCCGTTTCCCGCTTAATGTGGTCCCGATTTTGAAGTAAGATTTGCAGGACGAGCGAGGTGGGAGTTTGGGGAGGTGCAGATTGATACTTCCTAGCCCGTCGAGATATTCCGAAAAGTTGCCATTTTGTGCATTTCTGAGTTCCAAGGAATAAGGGTTTCCAGGGGAGGCGGCGGCGTGTTGATTGCATTCCCGAAGGTGCACATTGAAGTCGATTTCTGTTTTACTGCGTGTAGGGGATTCATGGGGTGCCCCTGGTGTTTTCTGCGCCCAGCTGCGTTCTCACAAGCTGCGAAAACTACTACAGGCATCTCAGGTTACACTATTGCTTTTCTCTTTGGCAGGTGGCTTCAGTAAGTTCCAAGCCGAGTTCGCTTTGCACTGCGAGACCAATCTAGATGGCTCGTGTAGCAGCAGCTCGCCGCCGTTGCCAGTGCTGGGGCTCGGGGGCCTGCGGATCAGCTCCGACTCTTCCTCCGACATTGAGTCTGACCTTGACCGAGACCCCAACAGCGCTACGGACTCGGATGGCAGCCCGCTGTCCAACAGCCAGCCTTCCTTCCCGGTGGAGATCTTGCCCTTCCTTTACTTAGGCTGTGCCAAGGACTCTACCAACTTGGACGTGTTGGAAGAGTTCGGCATTAAGTACATCTTGAATGTCACCCCCAATTTGCCCAACCTCTTTGAGAACGCAGGAGAGTTCAAATACAAACAAATCCCCATCTCGGATCACTGGAGCCAAAACCTGTCCCAGTTTTTCCCCGAGGCCATTTCTTTCATAGGTGAGAGACTGATGAACAGCCCTTGCTCTGACTTTTCAATGCAAAACACTGGATCCATTCATAGTTTAAACTGTTAATCCTTATAGCTCTTTGCTAATTTGTCCGACCTCTTGGTTTCTGATGTTCCTGGGGCGTTTTATAACTCTGGGTTTATCTTCTTGCTAAGGAAAGGAAAAGTGCCTTTTAATATGGCTGCAAACCACAGAGCTGTTAAAACGCTCTGTTTCTTGAATCTGAATTCAGTCGCTTTAAACGGAGGCAGTTGATCAGGCAACAGTTTTCCCACAGTCTTTGGACTGAGGGTGGGGATGGAAAGGGCTAGATCGAAGTACTCGCTGTAGACAGGTATTCTAACATTGCTCTGTAATTTTAAACGATCTAGAAGTTATTTTAGGGCACCCAGTTAGTTGTTGGAAAGCAAAGGGGTCTGAATGCTAAATGTTATCCAGTTGCATGATATGGTGATACTGGTAACTGTGAGAGTGGGTGACCTGATCCCACAGGAAGAACTGTGGGCTGGAAGCCTGGGAGAAGTGAATCTCCAGGCATTGTAGTGCATTTCCTATTACAAAGGAACTCATTTTCAGGCCATGTCGACATCCTGTCCTCCTAATGGCCTGTCCCCTGTGACTTCCCTCTCTCTTTTAAAACGCCTGAATACCTCCTTTGTTAGCTGCACAACAGTTGGAGAATAATTTAATAGACCCTTGCAGTCTGCTTGTCTGTATAAAAGGCATTCACGACCATATTGCAGGGTTTCTGGTATTCATGCTGAGGCAAAGAATGCACATATTAAGGAGTTTTTTGTTGGCAGAAACTTAATACAAAAGCTCCCTTTTCAGAAAATATCTGAAATATGTAATTGTGTCCAGTGTACATGTTTATTATCTCAGTGATAAATTTTTCTGTTGCCTTCAGGGCTCAACTTCCACACAGGATTGTTTTATGTCTTTTTTTCATTCAGATTTTAGACGCATCATTCACAAAGGGTGGTTTTCAGCCTACTTGAAATCGTGCTTTTCTTTTTGTGTTCACAGATGAAGCCCGGGGCAAAAACTGTGGTGTTTTGGTGCATTGCTTGGCTGGCATTAGCCGATCAGTGACTGTAACTGTGGCTTACCTTATGCAGAAGCTCAATCTATCCATGAACGATGCTTATGACATTGTCAAGATGAAGAAATCCAACATCTCCCCTAACTTCAACTTCATGGGCCAACTGCTAGACTTCGAGAGGACCCTGGGACTCAGCAGCCCCTGTGACAACCGGGTTCCAGCACAGCAGCTCTATTTTACCACCCCGTCCAACCAGAACGTCTACCAAGTGGACTCCTTGCAATCCACGTGAAAGACCCACACACCTCTCCTTGCTAGGATGTGTCTGTTCCTTCAGCAGTTTCTCTTGGCAGCATCAGCTGGGCTGCTTTCTTTGTGTGTGGCCCCAGGTGTCCAAATGTCACCAGCTGTATTAGACAAGGTTACCAGGTGTGGAATTGGTTATTACAGAGAGCTTTGCTCCATTCTCTTTGGAAGAACAGGACATGCTGTCTCTAGATACAGACAGTAGGTTTGCTCTGTACCCATGTGTGTAGCCTACCCATGCAGGCACTGGAATTCAAGGACTTCCAGGTATACAGGGTAGTTCCCAAGTGGTAGGGTAGGAGCATGTGTTCTTTAGGGCCTCATGTGGCTATTTCCTTTTACATCTGGAACAAACTGTAAATTGTCTTCAGTGAAGACTGATTCAACTTTGCATATAGAGGAGCCAAAGAGAGATTTCAGCTCTGAATTTGTGGTATCAGTTGGGAAAAAAGCCTCTGATACTTCTTTTAAATATTGTAAATATTTGATCTTAAATCATTAGACTGTTTGAATTTTGTGTGTGTGTGTGTGTGTTTTTCTTTGATTGGTTTAAAAGAAATCCAAAGGGAGAAAGACCAGTGTGCCACTTTAAAAAAAAATTTTTTTTTTTTTTTTGCTCTTTTCTAATCCAAAGGCTCCCATTTGCAGCATGCTTGACTATTGTACCAATTCTGATGACACTTTCATGGACACTGTTATCCACCAAGACCTTGTTATGGTGCAGTCTTCAGTCTCTTTACTGTATCTTCTTCATGATTGTTTTGCTCCTTGTATAGTTTGACTATGCCTTACCTTTGTAAATATTTTGGCTTGTATTGTCTCAAAGGGGATCTCTTGGAAAGACACCAAAATCACAGGCTCACTCTTTTTCCCCTGTACTTCAGCTGTGCTAAACAGTGTATTACCTCTGTACAAAATCCTTCAGGGAGTGTCACCTCAAATGCAATACTTTAGGCCGGTTTCTTTCCTTTTAGAAGATGTATAAAACTGGAAGTGTGTGTGTGTGAGGAAGGGCACCCATTTGATAGGTGGAATGCATCTGATTATGAAGACAGGAAAGTCGCTCCATTTATGTTCGCAGTGTAAAATTTTGAGCTGGAGTTTTATTATAAAAATGTAAAACCTTAAATTATTAATAAATAACTATTTTGGCTATTGAATGTGCATCTTTGAAAAAAATTTCAATCCTTAGTTATCTACATAGGAAGTAACATTTTAGAAAATTTTCAGTTGGGGACTGAGATGACATATAGCAGGCAAAAGTTACACTTTTTAAAGCTATTCCTAGAATGTTTTTCAGGTGTGTATTATGTTTCAAATTAAGATGCCATCATAGAATGGAATATATTATTTATATATATATATATATATATATATGCAATGGTTTCTGTGGGTGTAGTTGCTTATTTAAGATTTTATTGTTCCAAATAAAACATAGCCCTTGTTGAGGTATAGAGAGGTTTGAGTACTCTTATGAATAAGTATAAAAGGGTGTGCCAGAATACAAAGATGATAGTCTTATGTAAACTTCTGTCTTTTACTGTTACGATTTTCTGCACAAAAATCTTACACATGCCAGGGAAGGAAGTAGGCATAATAATTTTTCCAGGCTATTGTTACATGGCATGTCTAAGCTTTTTCATTGAGCCTAGATGTAGCTTTAGAATTTGCAGTTGGTACCTGAGATGAAAATTTGCCATCCCTGTTCAAATGTGCTTAAATGGTTTTGAATGTGGGTCACAACCCCTATTGAATCCGTAGGTAGAGATTATTAAGTTTCTAAGCTACAGGTTTAATATCTTGTCATTTTCCTTGAAACCTCTTCAGCCTGACAATAAAAGTTCATAAAGCAAAGGTAAAGGTGGGTGTTTGGAATCAAACTAGAGCACATGTCTTCGGCTCTTTCCACTTGAGCTTAGTTCTTCCTCTGAAGGGAGATAAGCTTTCACCCAAATGGCACACAGCGGATGCCAGTTGGACTGTTCTGGTAGTCCACATTTTAGAGGCAAGTGACCCCGATTTTATATCAATTGCGTCAAACTGCAGCATGATTTTGAAGCAACTAAGTATAAAAAGCAAACAAAGTACAGAAAAATAACCCACGTCAGTCTGATGTTTGGGTGTCTCAAGTCAGCAGCAGCACAGAAAAGAGAAGTGTCTTGCAGTTCAACTTGGCTCCTACTAATCCAGTTCTCAACAGTTTCCGCTCCTGGCATTCCCTAAACTGCCTGCTCAAAGTAGGGATTTGCAAGCAGCGTTAGCAATTTCCTGTCCAGCTGCAGCTCAAGTAGCTGGGTGCTTCCCCCCCACCACCACCACCCTTTTCTCTGATTTCTTTTCTCTTTTTTCATTTTTTAAAAATATGGGCTGTGGGTAATTTTAGTGCATTTCCTCTTTTTGGATTATCATCTTTCCTCCTAGAACCTGCATCCTGCATGCATCGAGTTCCTACTGCTGAGCTCCGGCCGACAGCTGGCCTCCCTGGCACTTCTCTCCTTCACTGTGGGTTTGTTGTTTGTCAGTCCACTTCTGAAATTAATAATGTTTTCTGGCCAAGTGCCACAAGCCATTACCACAAGGGGAAGTAACACATATGAATAGCAGGAAACCATGCAGGGTCACAGTGTGAGCTGAACCTGTGTAGGGAGGTAATTGAGCCTGGCCCATTCAGCAAGTGTCTCAGGGTGATTTGGGGAGAGGGAGCTCACAGTATTTAAGAAGCTCAGGCTGTGGGAAAAAAGTTTCAAATTGGGAGCAAATGGTCTTTGTTACCAGTCTGAGTAAAGGAGAGGGAGCAAGAGGAGTTTAGGGGCCCCATAAAGTTGCCATGGTTGGAGTTCCTCCCCTGTCCCTGGCATGTTGTTTCCTAAGGGTGATGAACGGAGGGGAGCCTGTTTCCTTCGGTTTCCACAAAATAACTCACTTTAGATGGGTGGTTTTTACGGTTCACATAGGCCAGAAGAAGATTGAAAGTAATTCCAATTAAAAAAAAAAAAAAAAGTTACTCTCTTTCCTTTGCTTCTCTGAAAGGTGGAAGGTTGTAACTGCCAGAGCAGCCAGGCCTGTGCTTCCCTTCCTCGGGGCCATCCCAGGGGTCCTCCGTTCCTTTGTGCTTGCGGGAGCCGCAGGAAGGCGATCAGTTTGCATCTTGGAGTTGGGCGGGCTTTCTGAATGGAGCCCGCACCGTTGCTAGGGCAACCTTTGCCAGCTGCTGCAGCTCTGTTGCCTCCCTCCTCACCTGCTGTCCCCATTAGTGGCTTCCTCGGGTCTAGAGAGAGAAAGTGCTACCTTTCCTGACCTCCTGCAGGGGGTTGGTGGGGGGCTCCTCAGCAGAGGAGGTGATCTGCAAGTTTTTGTGGGAGCTGTGGGAGGCTTAAGAAGGCAGCAGTTAGTGGTTTTAGAGTTAAAATTGGAATGAGAAATGGATATCTGGGGAGAAAAATACCGACCCAGTCTTCAAGGGAATGAAAATGGGAGTTTTGACCCCAAGTTTGGAATGAGGAGACCTGCTCTGTCACTAATCAGTCAGGGAGTTGGCCTCAAAATGTTTTTCTTTCTTGTCTGTAAAATGAGGGTGTGCTTACCTCATTCTAATGAGAATCCCCTTATCTTTGCAGCCCCTGCTCATAGATCAGTGACACTCATTAAATGAAAAATGAGATGCAGAGCAAGGTGAAATAAACAACGAACATCTATGATGAGTAACAGCTCTGTGAGATAGGTCCTATTATTATCCTCATTTTCTAAAGAGGAAACTGAGACACAGAGAGGCCCATAATGTTCAAACCCACCCATAATAGGGCACCTAGTGCACACTGTTAGGAAAGGTGTGTGTTTGGAACCAAACTTTGCACTCTTAACTCTTTCCGTTGTAAACTGCTTGTCATCAGCGTCTACTCCTTCTTATTAAGTCCTGTGATGTCAACTAGAAAGTGGTATCCCCATCTGACAGCTGAGGAAGTAGAGGAAGCAGAGCTTAAATGACCTACCAAGCCAAGCTTGAATTTGACAGCCAAATCATGAAAAGGAACCTGCTGGTGATGCCATTCACCTGGAAGCTGCTATTCTCCCCCTCCAACACAGAGAATTCACCAGGTCTTGGGCCCTGTAACGAATAACTTATAAAACTGATTGTCCTAAAGATTTCGAAAGTGGCTCGCAGCTGTAGCGCCTGGCGCTGACCCTTGCTCACACTCCCATTTCAGGGTTACACAAGGAAGCCTCCCCAAAGAAACTCATTTCCTCACTCCGATCCCTCGATCTGTCAGGGGAGGAAATCTGGGGGAGGCAGGAGGGGAGGACAGAGGACTCCATGGCAGTCTGCAGAATGAGAGGTAATCTGGCCAGCAAATCAGCAAATAATGGAGGCGGGAGTGGGAGGAAGTACCTGGCAAGGTAGCTTATGTGGTAGCTGGCTGTGGGACAGAATCCTTGAAAAGTCCTCCTTAGAAAGTCTGTCTGCAGACCTTACACAGCCATAATCGCTTTCCAGAAGCTCCTGTAAGACTTTCAGATACCCCCCACCCATGTCCTTGTTGAGCATTTTGCAATTGGCCCTCAATCTGTCCAGTTTTGATGAATGAATCTTCAAACTTCTTCAAAGTCTGAAATTGATTTCCTAAGAGGATTGAAGGGCACAGAACAAAGTTCAAGCCATTGAAAAATATTTATCCAGGCTTTGGTATGTGTTACATTGAGTTGATGAAACAAGGTGAAAATAAAGGCCAACCAAGGACTTAAACAGGGGCCCTGGAAACAGAAGGCAACATCATGATTCTAGATAAAACCACTCCATCTTTCTGTTAGTAACCCACATCAAAGAGGCACCCTTAAAGGACTTTTAGATATATTCTTGTATGTCCTCTGCTTCAACCATTCAATTAAATTTTAGACCTGAATTTTAATTTTTGTGTAGAAAAGGATTGATAATCCACATGATGGCAGTTTATTCTGTCTACTTCCTTGCTTGTGGATAATAGTACCAGAGAAGGTGTGCCTATCCATGCCTCTTCTGGATGTGACAGAAAGGTTTTGAATTAACATTTCTTCAAAGGAACTTTCAGACACACAGGGAAAGTGAAATATACATTATGTGATAATGATATTCTAAAAGGAACAAAATAAATCTGAAAAAGTTTATTTTTTGTTAGGAGTTCCCCTTTCCTACTTTTGAAGAAAATCTAAGTATTTACTAATTACATTTTTTTGAGGTCCTGAAGATCAAATCCAAGGCCTTTTGAGTACTAGGCAAGTGTTCTGCCACTGAGCTACACCCTAAGCTCAAGTTAACTAATTTTTTTTTAGGTCTATCTTCATTCCTATTGCAGATACTAACAGGAGGAAATGGAAAAAGAGAAAGGAAGATGCGGAAGGGAATCTTAAGTAGTACATAGCTCCCAGGCAATTGTAGCAGGAATACCTCTTTATCTTATGTTCCACTTACTTATTGCTACATAACAAACCACCCCAAAATTAGTGGCTTCAAGCAGTGATCATTATTTTGTTTCTAACCCTGCATTTGAGCGGGGCTCCATAGACAAGCCTGGTCTGCCCAGGGCAGTGTTGCCTGGGGCCAGAGGATCCAGTTCTAAGATACCTCACTCACTTCTCTGGCAAGTTGGTACTGGCCAACTACCGGAAGCTCAGCAGGCATCTGGGTCCTAAGATTGTGGTTCTTCTCCACAGGACCTTCATTTCCTCCCAGGATGGGGGCTGGGTCCTGTGGATAAAATCTCTGTGATAGCACCAAATGGAAGCTGTATTAACTTTTATGACCTGGGCTCAGAAGTTACTTCTATTGTATAAAGGTTCAAGGAGAGGGGACATAAAAAGCTGCCTTTTGATGGAGGGGGACAAAATTTCACAAGAGTAGATAGGATGGAAAATGTTGTTGGAGTTCCTCTTGGAAAACACAACCTATCACATCTTATATGGAAGCTATTTGAATGTAGGATTGTGTAAAGTAATAGCTCCTGCTGAGTTAGATTAAAAAATACTCAGCTAACTTAGACTCTTGGTCCTACCTTGGAAACATTATTATTCAACAATTGTAATTATTCTTTTAATTTTACTCTTTTTTATCTGTCTCTTATGTTAACAATAGAATAATGCTGTAAGAATATTTTTAGATTGACCCATAAAGTAAAAACAAGGTTTTATA